GACTTCTTTAATCATCTCCAAAAAATTGTGAAATAGAGAGCTTTTTTCAGGATACTGAAATTCAGAAAAATGCCCAAGATGATTTATTACATCAGCCAAAGATAAAGACTAGTAATAACCAGTGTGTGTGTGTGTGTGTGTGTGTGTGTGTGTGTGTGTGTGTGAGAGAGAGAGAGAGAGAGAGAGAGAGAGAGAGAGAGAGAGAGAGAGAGAGAGAGAGAGGCTGAGGTTCAAGCTTGGGATCTCATGCATGCTGAGGATATAACCTGAGGATATATCAGCAAGTGCTCTACCACTGAGCTACAGCCCTAGAAACAACTATTCTATAACATGTATATAGCACTTACAAGATTCCAAAGTTTATAGGACCAACAGGGTTACTTAGAATGCGAACAAAAAATACTATGATTTTTTTTTAAGCAGGTTCCTACTGTGTTGCCCAGGCTGATCTCAAACTTCTGGGTTTAAGATCATCTTAGCCTCCCAAGTAGCTGGGACTACAGATGCACACTACTGTGCCCAACTACGATAATTTTTCTATGGACTGGTGAAGTACAGGAAGCAACCTTTTGATTTTTATGTAGTTAAAGCTACTACTGTAAGCTTTTGACTATTTTTGACTAGACAACTCACTCTCACTGCAAATATGGTATTGTTTTTGTGTTCATTGCAGCAATTCATCAAATTTTGATGTCGGCTATGTATCCATTTGGTGTCCATAGTAGGCTTGGTATCCAATTAATAGCCATTGCATCTTGACTTGGTTTCTGTCCTGGGTTGTGGGATATCCTGGGTATGGGAGAGAAGGGGATCTTGTCAACATGAACAGGAAGATGATTTAAAGAAACACTCTGAGAAACATGGAGAGAGTTAGTTGAATAAAGTTCTAAGACAGCTTCCTTTCCATCCCTCTTTTTACCAAATTGCCTGTAATTGGTGCTCCCATGAGCTTCAGTGCTCTCCATCTGCAGCTAAGAGTCACTCTGAGGTTAGATATTCCTTTCCAGCTTTGGAAACATCAAAGCAACCGTCTCCAGGCTAATCTCGGTAACTAAAAGCCCACTCATGCTTTGGGGCTACTAATAGAAAATGGCTTTTGAACAGAAAGATTTGATCCATGTGGCAAAGTACTTTCGAGGGCTTATATAAAACTAATCTGGATTTGTACAAAAATTACATGCAGTATACTACAGTATAATGATGCTTTAATAAAAAAAAATAATAATCTGTTAAATTCCAGAGTGGCCAGATCTTGAAACTGGCAAAGGCTGCCTTCCTAACAATCCACTTGTGGTTCAGCTTTTTCCCTGGTTATCTTCAATTTCAATCTTTAAACCTCTACTTTGATTTCCAAAGGCCTGCATATGGTCAGGAGATGTGAGCAACTGCTTCCATGAGAACAAGGTAACCCCCCAAAACAAGTATTCACAGAAATCTCTGAAAGTTGTTTTTAAAGCTTCTCTTTATCAGAGTTCTCCCTCAAGTCCAAACATGGCTTATTAACTATTAATTCCCAGCACGTGTGACTCCTGCCTTCCAGGGTATAAGGCAGAGTCAGTTTTCTAGCCTAGAAAATCAGAAAGCAGTATCACCAAGAGCGGAAGACCTAACATCAGGAGCCCACAGGGCTGTGCAGAGAGCAAATGGAAGAGGGCCAGCCCCTGCCAGGGGCAGATCACCAAACCCACCACCTTCAAGTAATTGCTTCCATAACAAGATTCTCGTGTCAAACCTCTAAAAGTAGACTTTTCACTGGTGAAGGAAGGAGAGCCTAGAAAGTCAAGGGGCATTTAAACTCATGTAGCCATTTAAGGATCAAGTTAGGAGTCATCCAGCCCCTTCTGCTCCTAGAGTGATAAATGAGGAGGATGGTTCTTTTATGTGTGTTCGTCATTCTGTAAAGCAGATAGTTTGATTATTCACCCAGTAACCTCTTCAAGTGCAGAGATATCTCACAGAACATGCTACTGTGTCCTTTTACTGTGAATGACAACAGCCTTCGCATCAAAGAAAAGTAGAAGATAAGTTGAAATGAAACCATTTGGCACTGAATGTGCAAGCCTAGAAGTCACGTCCAACAATACCCTCCTACATGGAATCCATTGTACCAGTTCAGACCCAAAATACAGTGGACCCAGGAGTTCTCCTCAGATGCTGTTGGGAAGGAGGGAGATGGTGTCACTCACCCATTTGATGCCAGCATATGTATGGAAGAAGTGATTCCCTTAGGATCTTTACGCTTCTGTTATTAGTAAAATAATCCTGGCCTTTCCTCAACTACCTTTTATTTTGTGTTTTAATTGCTTTTTATTGCAGAGAATTACATATTCAGAATAAAGCATTTCTTGAACACTTACTATATGCCTTTCCCTGTGGGAGGTGCCATCATATATCTACTTATTGATTCCTCTGTATGGCAGAGGAGACATTACTTRATACTAGTAATAAGCTTTCCTGTAAAAGATTAGAATTTACTATCTTCTGATAAAAGGAGTAAGGGACCAAAGATCTGGTTAGATGTGTGTGAATAACACTTTTGGGTGGACCAGCGTCGTCTTTTCCACCAGAGAGTTGAGCTTCCTGGCCCAGCCTCCTAACTAGGGCTCAGCTTGGTGTCCAAAGGAGATGTAGAAGCTGGGGTGTGCTGGCCTAGCTGGTTAGGCATCATGTCCTTCAAATCACACCTGTTCCCATGTTGGGGAAGTGGAAGAGCAGGGACACCTTGCTTAGTACTGGTGCCTACTAATTCTCAACTTCCTGCGTAGAAAGAATAGTTGTGTCTCAGATACTGCAAGCCTGTGGTGTGAGAAGGGGCCTAGGCCTACCCTTTGGACCCAGGAGGGAATTAAGGGTGAACACAGAGAGCAGAGGTTCTTATCCACCACCAGGTGATGGGGGACCTCAGGACACTTACCTGTCTCCTGTTTTACTTAAGTTTCCCATCACCCATGTCTCTTAACTGAGTGATCAGTTAAGAATATCTGTCTAGGGCTGGGAATGTGGCTCAGTGGTAGAATGTTTGCCTGGCATGCATAAAGCTCTGGGTTTGATTCCTATCACCACAAACAAACAACAAAAACCATTTTTGAGGTAGGAGGGTTTGTCCCCCTCTCCTGGTACTAGGGATTGAACTCAGATGGGCTTTACCAACAAGGCACACCATCTCCAGCTTTTTAAGTTTTGAGATAGTCTCGCAAAGTTCCTGAAGCCTGGCCTCAAATTTGGGATCCTCCTGCCTCAGCATTCCACATTGCTGGGATTATAGTTGTGTAACACCATGCCCAAGCAAGCTAAGAGGTTTAAATTGTAAGGTTGTTCGAGTTGGGGAATATATAAAGAGGACTAGAAGAAGACGGAGATCTTAAAATGACATGTGGACAATGATTGACCTAATGCCTTTCCATATTAACGGGAATGTTTTGGCCTGAAGTAAAGGGAAGGAATGTTACCCCAGGCCTGAGGAAACAAGCAAGGATAACAAGTTTAGCAGAGACTGGATTCAAGCAGCAGTCCATATGTGGTGTTCCAAGGCCTGAGGAATTCATGAAGATAACAATGAGAAACAGGAACAAATCTCATTATTATGACAAGCATAAATGAATCATTTATTTACCCTTAAACAGGTTCTATAAATTTACCAAAACACTGGGTAGCAGGTTATACTGCAATACCAATTACCTCATGCTTTTAAGAGGCTCCTCTTGCCGGACACAGTGGTGTACGCCTGTAATCCCAGTGGCTTGGGATTAYAAGTGGCTCAGCCGAGGCAGCAGAATTGTGTTTAAAGCAACTTAGCAAGGCCCTAAGAAATTCTGCAAGATCCTGTCTCTAAAATACAAAAAAGGGCTGGGGATGGGCTCAGTGGTTAAGCACTCTATTCAATCCCCAGTACCCCCACCCCTGCACAAAAAAAGTTCTTTTTGACTTCTGATGTTACCTTGGGGGTTTCAAATGTGATCAGTGGACTGTATGATATCATCAGGTAGTCCCAACTAATCTAAAGTCAGATCACCCCAGACATGATTGATGTTAGGCTGGGTTATTGGGTGACAATCACAGTGATATATCTGAAGTCTGTGGTGGAATATTTGAGAGCCACTGGGGTAAGAGCATGTGGAGCATTCCCAGCCTGAGCTCTGAAACTCCGTATCTCATAGTTGTCTCATTTTTACTCCTTGAAAGGAGGTTGAAAGGTGACRAGTCATCAGATTAGAGTAAGTGATCCACCTTTGAGACCCTGTCCTGAGAACCCTGCCTGTGCCTCTTCCTCACTGCCTGCAGGTGTTGCCGAAGACTCTGGGAACAGGTTTCTCTGTCCTCCCCTCCTCTCCTAGTTAAGCAGTGGGACACTGGGAGTCAGGGGCTAGTTCTCTTCTTTGGCTCCTAAAAGAAGAGGTTAAACAGTAAAACAGGAGAAAATAGCCATCCAAGTGAGCAATATCTTATTAGAGTAAGCCTCGGAAAGCTCACCTTGGCCTTAGTTAGCAAAGTGTCAGTTGACTCTGATGTTAGGCCAAGGCTTCCAAGCCCCAGAGCATCACAGCCCTAGGTCTATAGGAGCTCCTAGGAAATCTGACATCTGGAGAAAGAAACAGCTGAGTTCCTCTTGGTTTGATGGGCCTATTAAACACTTGRTAATGGTTGGCAAAATGATGTTGAAGCATATTGATTAATATGGTTATACTTAGAAGGAAAGAGTTGGGGCTAAGTCTAGAATTGGTATATTTCTCAGCATATGTCCTTTCGGTTGATTGATTGTTTCAAAACTATGGTGACAGTTTCTATTTTCTGGAGTATTTCAAGAAGGGAAAGTATTTTTGTACTCTTCTTTCTGAATATGTACACATCTGAACAACCTTAGGATTTCCATCTCTTTCCTTTGCTGGTTTCCTGGGCTTTTGATCACATGCCCCTTGCACTTCCCACCCACCCACACCCCTTCTTGTGTCCTTGTAGCGTCACCGTAGCCTTCACTCGTCCTTCTCCTTCCTCTTCCCCAGAGTCAAGCTATGCGAATCGTCCGGACGGTGGGGCAAGCCTTTGAGGTCTGCCACAAACTGAGCCTACAGCACACACAGCAGAATGCAGACGGCCAGGAAGATGGGGAGAGTGAGAGGAACAGCAATGGCTCAGGGGAACCAGGTAGGCACCGTGGATGCATTGGGTGTGCAGAAGGAGGCAGGAAGACTACCGCAGTGGATCACTGCCCCAATGCCAGGTTATTAATTTACTTAAATTAAAAAAAAAAAATTCCATGTTTCTCTCTAGGTTCCAGATTTTTTCTTTAAGGTATATGTACTATTGTGTGTGTGGGGTGTGTGTGTGGGGTGTGTGTGTGTGTGTGTGTGTGTGTGTGTGTGTGTGTTTTGCTGGGAATTGAGCCCAGGAGCACTCTGAGCTACATCCCCAGCCCTTTTTATTTTTCAATTTTAAGATAGAATCTTGATAAAGTTGCCCAAACTGGCCTTGAACTTGCAATCTTCCTACCTCAGCCTCCCAAGTTACTGGGATTACAGGTGTGTGCCCCTGAGCCCAGCATTTTTTACTTTTTATAACCAAAATGTTTAAATTATTAAGCCAGAAAGCATTTAAGTTAGATATTAGGAAATATTTTGTAAAGATAGAGCTTTTTCTGCTACCATATCACTATATTTCCCACCCAAAGAAAATTTCAGTTAAAAAGCACCCCTGTAAAACAAATTAGAAAGAATATAAATTCACAGTTACTTGATTTTTTGGTACATGTTATATATGTTCATATATGTTATGTGAAAACATATTAATTTATATAATATGGTATGAATATCTTTATATAATTATAGATATTAGCAAGAAAAAGAACTGGTGGAGAATTCAAGAAAACAAACTGAAAACTATTAGAACTGAGAGAATACATTTAAAGCACAGTCCAGAATTACATAAATATCTATGGTTTTCATAGATTCTAACAACAATGGTTAGAAATCATAATAGAAGTAAATCTATTAAAATAAAAGCTTTTAAATATAAAATGCAGATAAATAAATGTATTATTTTACATTTTAAAAATGGCGTGTTCCTGGATGGAAAATCTCAACATTGTAAATTGTTAATTCTCCTTGTGTTCATCTATATTAAAATATGAATATTTAATATTAAAATATTTAAAAAACATTTAACATAATATAAATTTCTAACAGTGAAAGAAGAATCATAGTGAGCTATAGAATTCAAAACTTATGGGATGTAGCTAAAACAAGGCTCAAAAAAAAAATCCAAAGTTTAAATCATTTAAATTAATAGATGACATGTCTTGAAAGTCAAATGAATTAAGAATCCAACTCAAAAAGTTAGAAAACAACAAATAAATCTTATATTGGAAATGACAGGTTTACAATAGACTCTTGATTTGCATGCCAGCTGTACCATCATGAGCTATGTGATCTTGGACAAATTCTATAACCTCTTTGGTTCTTAATTTTTAATCTGAGAAATAGGAATCATAGTAATGCCTACCTTATAGATTACTATAATATTAGATGAACTGATACATTTAAAAGGCCGAATTGCCTGGCACAATGGTGCATGCCTGTAATTTCACTATTTGGGAGGCTGAGGCAAGACGATTGTAAGTTCAAGGCCAGCTTGGGAAACTTAGTAACACCTTGTCTCAAAATAAAATTAAAAAGGGCTGGGGTGTAGCTCAGTAGTAAAGTGTTCCTGGGTTCAATCCCCAGTAGCAGAAAAAAAAAAAAGAATTTATCCTAAATGTAGACCCATACACATTTGAAATGATGGATTGTAGAATAAAGTTGCCTAAGAAAAGAATCAGTTTAAAACCAAAGCATTGGAAATGGCAATGGATAACTTTTAAAAGACATAATCTGCTTATTGCATTTCTTTTTTAATAGTGCATTATAGTTATACATAATGTTGGGGTTCAAAAAATAAGAGAAAGAAAAAAACCAAGGTTAGAACTGTGGTATGGTATGCTACCAATTATACTGTATTATAAATCCATATATATATAAATGTATGTATATGTATATACACACTCATGTCTCTTATGCATAGTCTGTTTCCTACATGATACACAAGAAACTGACAACTGTAGATGGCTAGGGTGGCAGCAATATTTGCTTTCCACCACACTTTAATAGTTTTTCTTTTTTAATTTTGGACATTTATTAGTCATAAATTCAGAAAGCCTAACATTTTCTTCTAGTGCTCAGTTTCTATGTGATGAAAGGACTCACCTTACTTAGCTCTTGGTTCATCATTTTTATTAGACAGTGGTACTTTTTTCCTAATGCAATCATCTCAGTGATCTTGATTAACAACAACAACAACAACAATTACCATATAGATAGAGCTTTACATTTTGCTATGTTCCCCTGACCTGCTTATAGCAGGTCATAGTATTAATGTAAACTTTTAAAACTTTCCATTTTTGTGTTCTGAGGCTTAGAGATAAAACAGAACTACAGGTAGGTTTTGGCAACTATTTCACATATCTTTGCTGGTCAGTGAGTAGGGTGTAATGGTGACAGTTGCTTGTAATACTCATCTAGAGACACCAAGAGACTCATGACTGTCCACTTTCCCTAGAGAGCAGAGACCAGGGTGTTTGCTTCTGTGCTGGAGAATGCTGTCAAAGCATTCAACTGGAGAAGCAGTATTTCTTGACACATTGAGGCCATTTAAATTTTTCTTTAAAAAATTTTGGTACCAGGGATTGAGCCCAGGGGCTTTACCAGTGAGCCACATCCCCACCCTTGTTATTTTTTTATTTTGAGACAAGGTCTCACTAAGATGCTGAGGCTGGCTTTGAATCTGCAATTCTCCTGCCTCATCCTCCCAAGCTGCTGGGACTACAGGCATGTGCCACTTGTTAACACCTCTTTAGGGATGCCCTGCTCCTCTGCCGTTGGAGACCTGCAGCTCTCAAGAGCTTTCAAACCAGAGTCTCACCAACAGCTGGTATATGCATATACAAAGAAATTCTAACCAGAAAGTAAAGTGCATTGTTTCCAATGAAACCACTTTGTTCTATAGTGAAAGGGGCTGGACACAGGTACTTGCCCATAGGCTAAGCATTCGAACACCTTTGTTTTCACAGAAGTCCTGTCTAAAGAGCCTGCTCTGATATACTTAATCAGAATAATCAGAATTCACTGCTCAGCTGCTGGCTAGAGAGGTCAGGATGGTCTGGGTTAGCCTTTTTTTCCCCCCAGTGCTGGGGATCAAATCCAGGGCTTATGCATGTTAGTCAAGTGCTCTACAACTGAGCTACCCCCTCAACCTCTGGATTGGCCTTTTGAAGAGAATTGCCTGTGCAGCTTTTCTTATAGACAGTGCCAAGGGTAGTTTTATTTCTTCCTACAGTAGGAGCTTCTATTTCCTCCCACCTCCAGCCCTTGTCACCATCTGCTGGGTGGCTGGGTTGATGTAATTTCCTGGGGTGCAATGGAGGATTCACTCTGGGGAGTCAGTGGAGGCTCCAATGAGGAATCTCATCCTGTCCTTTTTTTCAGTTCTATTTTCCCCACTCCTCCCTGTGTGCCACTAGCTTCTTCCTGCCCTGAATGTGTCATGTGCCCTCTGGCCATGGTTAACCTCTCTCCCAAGGATCCCTGCATGCACCTTGAGCAGGCAACCTACTCACACTGCAGTCCTAGCATTCTATCTTCTGGAAGCCCTGCCTTCCAACCCCATTCTCCCATTCTCTTCTCTTCCCCTTCCAGAAAATTCAAAGACTTTTTCTTATCCTGACTTCCTGTGTTCTTTACCCCAGGTTGATGTTATTGACGTTCAATCCCCTGTGTACCAGACACATAGCGTCCTCTATCTTTAGTGAAGTGTGAACCCTGGGAAAATGGGGACTTCCTAGCACAATAAATACTTGTTAAATAAACTGGCAAGCACTATCAGTGAGTGGGGCTAAGGTGTCCATATTTATTAGTCATTGTCAACAAGTACTAATTAATTGCTTACTCTATGCTAACATGAGCATGGATATTGAGGAGATATTTCAACAGGGAGTGATTTTTGAACAGCCTCTTGATGAAAAATAATGACACATAATATGCAGGAGTTCTGTGGAATTGAGGTGATAAAGCACAGAGGGTGRTGCAGAAGACTGGACCAGTATTGCTAGGGCAGTGATGGTTATGGTGGGGATGGGTAGAGGCTAATGCCATTTTGCTCTTTTAGCTGTAATAGATGATCAGCATAGAAGTAATAGATCCACTGGCTTAGTTTACCTTTATTTTTAATTACATTTTGGGAGATAGTTTTCTTGAGTCACATTAACATACATGTGTGTATTAGTTAGAGTTCTCTAGAATCAACAGGAAATATGATTATAAAAAGATGATGTATTAGATTGTCTTATGCAAMCAGAAGCTGGATAATCCATAATGGCCATCTGCAGASTGGAGAGCTGGAAGAGCCAGTAGCTGCAYAGTCCGAGAGACTGAAGCCCCAGAACAAGAGGAATCAATTGTGCTACCCTAGTCCAAAGACTTCTGGAAACACTCCCTGGAGAATCACTGGCAGAGTCCGCTTTGGAAGAGCGAAGAAATGAGAGTCCAATATCCTTAGGTGATCACATCAGCAATCAAGARCCTGTTCAAGAATTGAGCTTGCATCTGCTACTGCTCCTTGTTCTTCCAACTTTTATTTCATCCAAGCCACTATCCAATTATTGGATGGTGCTGCCCATGCTTAGGGAGGGTCTCTACTTCAGTTCACTATCCCACATGCCAATCATTCCTAGACACACCCTCATTGACACACAGAAGCCTCTTAATCATCAGAACCTCTTAATCCAATCAAGTTGACAATTCAAATTGAGCATTACATTTACATGTTAGTCAATTTTGTGTCACTATGACCAAGATACCTGACAAAAACAATTTAGAGGATGAAAATTTTGTTTTGGACTCAATGGTTTCAGAGTTCAGTTCATAGTTGGCCAGCTCCATTGCTCTGGGCCTGAGATAAGGCAGAATATCATGGTAAAAGACAGTGATGGTTGAACACTGCTCTGTTATGACATCCAGGAAGCAGAGAGAGTGCCATGAGCCAGGGACAAGATACAATGCAAGAATATGTCCCCAGTGGCCTGCTTCCTCCATCCACAACTCACTGCCGACAGTTAC